ATATATGTAGGAAAAAACCCGAAGTCTAAATCCCAACTTGAAGGGTAGATATGCCTGCGCAAAAATCCCAAAATCCCAGTTTCGCAAATTTCGAAATTTACGAAACTTATCGACAAATCACGTGTGATATGTCAAATGAAAGCTCTCGACGAGCTGAGTCTGATAAAATTTAGTTTATTTTTTTTTGGACCACTTTGGACCAAGTTACAGTAGCCCAAAGTTTCAAAATATTTTTATGTAAAATTGGGAAGAGTGGCTCCAATTCTCAAAAGTGAATTGAAACCCGTTTTCGATATCCTATGTTATAGAGCGTCCCCTGACGGTCCGAAAAAGGTATAATATGTCGGGGGTCCGGTTGAGTCTGAAAAAGTTATGGCCAATGTTCGCAAATGTCGCGAAACTTTTTTTGTCTCTAACTTTGTCGAAAATTTTTTTAGAATTTTTCTGACACCGGATTCGTACTCAGCGCATGTCAGAGTACCATATAGGCCGTTTTATAGGTCAAAATTCGAAAATTTTGTCCATTCGAATTTTTTCAAAGGGGTACCCCTTTTGGGGGATTTTAGGGATTTTTAAATTTGAAATATCTTTTTTTGGGATTGTCAGATTGGGATGGGGTTTCCTTTATTAAATTAAATAAAAAATTAGAAATTTTTAGAGCCGAAAAAATTTATGAAAAATTTGAAATTGGAGGTGTAGAAGTCGAATTTCGAAAAACCCAAAAATTTTCGGTTTTTCGAAATTTTTTCGGGATTTTTGCCGGTGGTTCGGGCCGATTGTATTTTTCCTGGATTAACCAGATTTTTCTACATATTATGGGATTTTAAAATTTTTAAAAAGGTATACTTTGGGCGAGATATGATTTTTTGAAAATTTCAGGGATTTTTTCTGGCCTAAATTTCAGGCCCAAAAACTATTTTTTTTTAAATGGATATAAATATGGCAAATGAGATATCATTCGAAAGCTCTCATCGAGCTGGATATAAAAATATTTTTTTCAATTTTTTTCGGTACATTTTGACGAACGTACAGAGGTTCGAAAATTTGTGGGGGTGAGTACCGTACCCGGAGAATTATGGTAGGGAGAGAGGAAAAATGATTGACAGGTGCAGTTGATGGCAGAGAGCGAAATTTTTCTCCGTCTCTAACCATGAGGGGCAAACCGTAAAAGAACTTAAATGTGAATTTTGTATATTGGGGAAAATTTTGTGGAGGGATAAGCTGGATCCTGTTGTGGATCCAAAGCAGCAACGCTTCTTGAAGCAGTTTCTGCTTCGAATTTTTGTTTTGGATTGGACTCATTCTTCTAATTAAAAGGATGAGTCCAATCATCCTTCTAATTGAAAGGATGAGTCCAATCATCCTTCTAATTGAAAGGATGAGTCCGATCATCCTTCTAATTGAAAGGATGAGTCCAATCGAGGGGCCGAAGGCCCGGAGTGACTCTAAGTGGAAGGAAGAGTCCCAATTGTCGAAGACGAGGGCCGAAGGCCCGAAGTGACTCTAAGTGGAAGAATTAGTCCAATCGAGTAGAAGACGAGGGCCGAAGGCCCGAAGAGCAATAGTCAAAGTCAGAGAATAGATCCTCCGAGGCCAAAGGCCGAGGAGTAGGCGAGGGCCGAAGGCCTGAGCTTTTATTACATCTAAAAGGCAGAGCAATAGTCAAAGTCAGAGAATAGATCCTCCGAGGCCAAAGGCCGAGGAGTAGGCGAGGGCCGAAGGCCCGAGCTTTCATTACATCTAAAAGGCAGAGCAATAGTCAAAGGCAGAGCATAGATCCTCCGAGGCCGAAGGCCGAGGAGTATGCGAGGGCCGAAGGCCCGAGCTTTTATTACATCTAAAAGGCAGAGCAATAGTCAAAGGCAGAGCATAGATCCTCCGAGGCCGAAGGCCGAGGAGTATGCGAGGGCCGAAGGCCCGAGCTTTCATTACATCTAAAAGGCAGAGCAATAGTCAAAGGCATAGCATAGATCCTCCGAGGCCGAAGGCCGAGGAGTAGGCGAGGGCCGAAGGCCCGAGCCTTCATTACATCTAAAAGGCAGAGCAATAGTCAAAGGCAGAGCATAGATCCTCCGAGGCCGAAGGCCGAGGAGTATGCGAGGGCCGAAGGCCCGAGCTTTTATTACATCTAAAAGGCAGAGCAATAGTCAAAGGCAGAGCATAGATCCTCCGAGGCCGAAGGCCGAGGAGTATGCGAGGGCCGAAGGCCCGAGCTTTTATTACATCTAAAAGGCAGAGCAATAGTCAAAGGCAGAGCGTAGATCTTCCGAGGCCGAAGGCCGAAGAGTAGGCGAGGGCCGAAGGCCCGAGCCTCAGCCCATCTAAAATGCAGAGCAGTCTGATTGGAAGGATGAGTCCAATCGAGGGGAGGAGGTTGGCGAGGGCCGAAGGCCCGAACTTCAACCCATCTAAAAGGCAGAACAAAGAACGACCGAGGCCGAAGCTAAGGAGTTGGCGAGGGCCTAAGGCCCGAAGCCCGAAGTGACTCTAAGTGCAAGAAAGAGTCCAATCGAATGAAAGTAGGGCCGAAGGCCCTAAGTTACTCTAAGTGGAAGGATGAGTCCAAACGGAGGGAAGACGAGGGCCGAAGGCCCGAAGTGACTCTAAATGGAAGGAGGAGTCCACTCGAAGGGAAGACGAGTGCCGAAGGCCAGAAGTGACTCTAAGTGTAAAGATGAGTCCCAATGGGGGGAAGACGAGTTGGCGAGGGCCGAAGGCCCGAAGCAATGAAAAGGCAGAGGTAATCAAATATATTCCAAGCATTTAAACATTCTAGCAGCGCGCGAAGCGCGCCCCAAAGCCGTTAGGCTTTCGAAAACCCAGAACTAAATTGAAACCAAAGCAAAATTAAACTGCCATTGCATACGTAAGTTACCGCCATCGCATACGTAACCCACAGCTAGTTACTATATACCTATAATTCAGGGAGTGTTTTTTCTATGAAAAAAAATAACGGCCGGCCGAAGGCCGGCACGGTTTTGGGAGTTTGACATTCGGGGGGTAGTTTGGGACGGGGCATCCAGGAAAATTATCGAGAAGTCAAAATAATTACCCCCTGGTACCTAAATCGCTTAAGCGCCGGGGCTATCTTTTCAATGGGGGGTTATAGCGAAAAATGTCTGCTGGGAGGATGATGTACGGCTATTAGTAGAGTTCGAATGCAAAAAACTCGAATTCGAAATTCGGACCTGAAGGGTACTTATGCCTTCCCAAATGATTATGCCCCCAGGCTGAAAAATTCTAACCCTTTAACGAATTGAGTTAGGGGTCTGAAACTTTTGCATTTAAGGGTTCTATTTGATGGGGCATTTGGGAAAAATACGAAAGTTAAGAAATAATTACCCCCTGGTACCTATATTGAATAGGTACCGGGGGTATCTCGGGACTGGGGGGAGATATCAAAAAACTTCCCAAAAGATATCAAAAAACTTCCCAAAATCCCAGTTTAAGAGATATCAAAAACTTCCCAAAAGATATCAAAAAACTTCCCAAAATCCCAGTTTCGCAAATTTCGAAATTTACGAAACTTATCGACAAATCACGTGTGATATGTCAAATGAAAGCTCTCGACGAGCTGAGTCTGGAAAAATTTAGTTTAAATTTTTCGGAATACTTTTGACCAAGTTACAGTAGCCCAAAGTTTCAAAGTGCCCCCATGTAAAATTGGGAAGGGTGGCTCCAATTCTCAAAAGTGAATTGAAACCCGTTTTCGATATCCTATGTTATAGAGCGTCACCTGACGGTCCGAAAAAGGTATAATATGTCGGGGGTCCGGTTGAGTCTCAAAAAGTTATGGCCAATGTTCGCAAATGTCGCGAAACTTTTTTTGACTCTAACGTCCCGGGGGAATTTTTTAAAATTTTTCTGACACCGGATTTGGACTCAGCGCATGTCAAAGTACCATATGGGACGTTTTATGGGTCAAAATTCCAAAATTTTGTCCCACCCCCTATTTCCAAAGGGGTACCCCTTTTGGGGGATTTTTGGGATTTTTTAGGTGATCATAACTTTTTTTGGGATTAAGAGAATTGGATGGGTTTTCCTTTATAAAATAGTACTAAAAATTAGAAATTTTTAGAGCCGAAAAAATTTCGGAAAAATTCGAAATTGGAGGTGTAGGGGTCGAATTTCGAAAAACCCAAAAATTTTCGGTTTTTCTAAATTTTTTCGGGATTTTTGCCTGCTGTTCGGATCGAATGTATTTTTCCTAAATTAATCAGATTTTTCTACATATTTTGGGATTTTAAAATTTTCAAAAAAGGTATACTTCGGCCGAGATATGATTTTTTGAAAATTTCAGGGATTTTTTCTGGCTGAAATTTCAGGCCCAAAAAATATTTTTTTCAAAATGGATATAAATATGGCAAATGAGATATCATTCGAAAGCTCTCATCGAGCAGGATATAAAAATATTTTTTTCGAATTTTTTCGGTACATTTTGAAGAAAGTACAGAGGTTCGAAAATTTGTGGGGGTGATTACCGTACTCGGAAAATTATGGTAGGGAGAGAGGAAAAATGATTGACAGGTGAAGTTGATGGCAGAGAGGCGAAATTTTTCTCCGTCTCTGACCATGCGGGGCAAAACGTAGAAGAGTTTAAAGGTGAATTTTGTATATGTGGGAAAATTTAGTGGAGAGATAAGCTGGATCCTGTTATGGATCCGAAGCAGAGATGCTTCGTGAAGCAGTTTCTGCTTCGAAATTTTGTTTTGGATTGGACTCATTCTTCTAATTGAAAGGATGAGTCCAATCATCCTTCTAATTGAAAGGATGAGTCCAATCATACTTCTATTTGAAAGGATGAGTCCAATCATCCTTCTATTTGAAAGGATGAGTCCAATCATCCTTCTTTTTGAAAGGATTAGTCCAATCATCCTTCTAATTGAAGGGAAGACGAGGGCCGAAGGCCCGAAGTGATTCTAAGTGGAAGGAGGAGTCCACTCGAAGGGAAGACGAGGGCCGAAGGCCCGAAGTGACTCTAAGTGGAAGGATGAGTCCCAATGGGGGGGGGGGGAAGACGAGGGCCGAAGGCCCGAAGTGACTCTAAGTGGAAGGATGAGTCCAATCGAAGGGAAGACGAGGGCCGAAGGCCCGAAGTGACTCTAAGTGGAAGGATGAGTCCCAATGGGGGGGGAAGACGAGGGCCGAAGGCCCGAAGTGACTCTAAGTGGAAGGATGAGTCCAATCGAAGGGAAGACGAGGGCCGAAGGCCCGAAGTGACTCTAAGTGGAAGGAAGAGTCCAATCGAGGGGAAGACGAGGGCCGAAGGCTTTAATTACATCTAAAAGGCAGAGCAATTGTCAAAGGTAGAGCATAGATCCTCCGAGGCCGAAGGCCGAGGAACCGGCGGGCCGTTGGCCCGCCGGTTGGCGAGGGCCGAAGGCCCGAGCTTTCATTACATCTAAAAGGCAGAGCAATTGTCAAAGGTAGAGCATAGATCCTCCGAGGCCGAAGGCCGAGGAACCGGCGGGCCGAAGGCCCGCCGGTTGGCGAGGGCCGAAGGCCCGAGCTTTCATTACATCTAAAAGGCAGAGCAATTGGGAAGGAAGAGTCCAATCGAAGGGAAGACGAGGGCCGAAGGCCCGAAGTGAATCTAATTGAAAGGATGAGTCCAATCGAGGGGTAGAGTGGAAGTGGAAGGAAGAGTCCAATCGAGGGGAAGACGAGGGCCGAAGGCCCGAAGTGAATCTAATTGAAAGGATGAGTCCAATCGAGGGGTAGACGAGGGTCGAAGGCCCGAAGTGACTCTAAGTGGAAGGGTGAGTCCTTTTGGCGAGGGCCGAAGGCCCGAGCTTTCATTACATCTAAAAGGCAGAGCAATTGTCAAAGCATAGATACTCCAAGGCCGAAGGCACGAGTGACTCTAAGTGGAAGGGTGAGTCCATGCGTCGTGAAGACGAGGGCCGAAGGCCCGAAGTGACTCTAAGTGGAAGGGTGAGTCCATTCGAGGTGAAGACGAGGGCCGAAGTATCTTTAAGTGGAAGGGTGAGTCCAATCGATGGGAAGACGAGGGCCGAAGGCCCGAAGTGACTCTAAGTGGAAGGGTGAGTCCAGTTGGCGAGGGCCGAAGGCCCGAGCTTTCATTACATCTAAAAGGCAGAGCAATTGTCAAAGCATAGATCCTCCTAGGCCGAAGGCCGAGGAACCGGCGGGCCGAAGGCCCGCCGGTTGGCGAGGGCCGAAGGCCCGAGCTTTTATTACATCTAAAAGGCAGAGCAATTGTCAAAGGTAGAGCATAGATCGTCCGAGGCCGAAGGCCGAGGAACCGGCGGGCCGAAGCCCGCCGGTTGGCGAGGGCCGAAGGCCCGAGCTTTCATTACATCTAAAAGGCAGAGCAATTGGGAAGGAAGAGTCCAATCGAAGGGAAGACGAGGGCCGAAGGCCCGAAGTGATTCTAAGTTGAAGGGTGAGTCCAATCAAAGGGGATACGAGGGCCGAAGGCCCGAAGTGACTCTAATTGAAAGGATGAGTCCAATCAAAGGGGATACGAGGGCCGAAGGCCCGAAGTGACTCTAATTGAAAGGATGAGTCCTGGCGAGGGGGGGGGGGGGGGGAACCGGCGGGCCGAAGGCGCGCCGGTTGGCGAGGGCCGAAGGCCCGAGCTTTCATTACATCTAAAAGGCAGAGCAATTGTCAAAGGTAGAGCATAGATCCTCCGAGGCCGAAGGCCGAGGAACCGGCGGGCCAAAGGCCCGCCGGTTGGCGAGGGCCGAAGGCCCGAGCTTTCATTACATCTAAAAGGCAGACCAATTGGGAAGGGTGAGTCCAATCGAAGGGAAGACGAGGGCCGAAGGCCCGAAGTGACTCTAATTGAAAGGATGAGTCCAATCGAAGGGAAGACGAGGGCCGAAGGCCCGAAGTGACTCTAAGTGGAAGGGTGAGTCCAATCGGAGGGAAGACGAGGGCCGAAGGCCCGAAGTGACTCTAAGTGGAAGATGAGTCCCAACGGGGAAAGACGAGGCGAGGGCCGAAGGCCCGATGTGAATCTAATTGAAAGGATGAGTCCAATCGAGAATGAAGACGAGGGCCGAAGGCCCGAAGTGACTCTAATTGAAAGGATGAGTCCAATCGAGGGGAAGACGAGGGCCGAAGGCCCGAAGTGACTCTAAGTGGAAGGGTGAGTCCAATCGGAGGGAAGACGAGGGCCGAAGGCCCGAAGTGACTCTAAGTGGAAGGATGAGTCCCAACGGGGAAAAACGAGGCGAGGGCCGAAGGCCCGAGCTTCAACCCATCCCGGAAGACAGAACAAAGATCGGCGAGGGCCGGAGGCCCGAAGCAATGAAAAGGCAGAGCTAAATAAATATATTCCAGGCATCAAAAAGTTCTAGCGGCGCGCGAAGCGCGCCCCAAAGCCGTTAGGCTTTCCAACGGGCAGAGTCCGAAAAAAACTGCCAGAGTATCCTAATAGGAATTGCATACGTAAGTTACCGCCATCGCATACGTAACCCATAGCTCCCGCCGGTTGGCGAGGGCCGAAGGCCCGAGCTTTCATTACATCTAAAAGGCAGAGCAATTGTCAAAGGTAGAGCATAGATCCTCCGAGGCCGAAGGCCGAGGAACCGGCGGGCCGAAGGCCCGCCGGTTGGCGAGGGCCGAAGGCCCGAGCTTTCATTACATCTAAAAGGCAGAGCAATTGGGAAGGAAGAGTCCAATCGAAGGGAAGACGAGGGCCGAAGGCCCGAAGTGAATCTAATTGAAAGGATGAGTCCAATCGAGGGGTAGACGAGGGCCGAAGGCCCGAAGTGACTCTAAGTGGAAGGGTGAGTCCAATCGGAGGGAAGACGAGGGCCGAAGGCCCGAAGTGACTCTAAGTGGAAGGAAGAGTCCAATCGAGGGGAAGACGAGGGCCGAAGGCCCGAAGTGAATCTAATTGAAAGGATGAGTCCAATCGAGGGGTAGACGAGGGTCGAAGGCCCGAAGTGACTCTAAGTGGAAGGGTGAGTCCTTTTGGCGAGGGCCGAAGGCCCGAGCTTTCATTACATCTAAAAGGCAGAGCAATTGTCAAAGCATAGATACTCCAAAGCCGAAGGCACGAGTGACTCTAAGTGGAAGGGTGAGTCCATGCGTCGTGAAGACGAGGGCCGAAGGCCCGAAGTGACTCTAAGTGGAAGGGTGAGTCCATTCGAGGTGAAGACGAGGGCCGAAGTATCTTTAAGTGGAAGGGTGAGTCCAATCGATGGGAAGACGAGGGCCGAAGGCCCGAAGTGACTCTAAGTGGAAGGGTGAGTCCAGTTGGCGAGGGCCGAAGGCCCGAGCTTTCATTACATCTAAAAGGCAGAGCAATTGTCAAAGCATAGATCCTCCTAGGCCGAAGGCCGAGGAACCGGCGGGCCGAAGGCCCGCCGGTTGGCGAGGGCCGAAGGCCCGAGCTTTTATTACATCTAAAAGGCAGAGCAATTGTCAAAGGTAGAGCATAGATCGTCCGAGGCCGAAGGCCGAGGAACCGGCGGGCCGAAGCCCGCCGGTTGGCGAGGGCCGAAGGCCCGAGCTTTCATTACATCTAAAAGGCAGAGCAATTGGGAAGGAAGAGTCCAATCGAAGGGAAGACGAGGGCCGAAGGCCCGAAGTGATTCTAAGTTGAAGGGTGAGTCCAATCAAAGGGGATACGAGGGCCGAAGGCCCGAAGTGACTCTAATTGAAAGGATGAGTCCAATCAAAGGGGATACGAGGGCCGAAGGCCCGAAGTGACTCTAATTGAAAGGATGAGTCCTGGCGAGGGGGGGGGGGGGAACCGGCGGGCCGAAGGCGCGCCGGTTGGCGAGGGCCGAAGGCCCGAGCTTTCATTACATCTAAAAGGCAGAGCAATTGTCAAAGGTAGAGCATAGATCCTCCGAGGCCGAAGGCCGAGGAACCGGCGGGCCAAAGGCCCGCCGGTTGGCGAGGGCCGAAGGCCCGAGCTTTCATTACATCTAAAAGGCAGACCAATTGGGAAGGGTGAGTCCAATCGAAGGGAAGACGAGGGCCGAAGGCCCGAAGTGACTCTAATTGAAAGGATGAGTCCAATCGAAGGGAAGACGAGGGCCGAAGGCCCGAAGTGACTCTAAGTGGAAGGGTGAGTCCAATCGGAGGGAAGACGAGGGCCGAAGGCCCGAAGTGACTCTAAGTGGAAGATGAGTCCCAACGGGGAAAGACGAGGCGAGGGCCGAAGGCCCGATGTGAATCTAATTGAAAGGATGAGTCCAATCGAGAATGAAGACGAGGGCCGAAGGCCCGAAGTGACTCTAATTGAAAGGATGAGTCCAATCGAGGGGAAGACGAGGGCCGAAGGCCCGAAGTGACTCTAAGTGGAAGGGTGAGTCCAATCGGAGGGAAGACGAGGGCCGAAGGCCCGAAGTGACTCTAAGTGGAAGGATGAGTCCCAACGGGGAAAAACGAGGCGAGGGCCGAAGGCCCGAGCTTCAACCCATCCCGGAAGACAGAACAAAGATCGGCGAGGGCCGGAGGCCCGAAGCAATGAAAAGGCAGAGCTAAATAAATATATTCCAGGCATCAAAAAGTTCTAGCGGCGCGCGAAGCGCGCCCCAAAGCCGTTAGGCTTTCCAACGGGCAGAGTCCGAAAAAAACTGCCAGAGTATCCTAATAGGAATTGCATACGTAAGTTACCGCCATCGCATACGTAACCCATAGCTAGTTACTATATACCTATAATAAATAGAAAATTTTTTTAGAAAAAAAAATATCGGCCGGCCGAAGGCCGGCCGCTTCCTGAGAGTATGACATCTTGGGGGGTAGTTTTAATGGGCTTTTCAGGAAAAATACCGCTGGGACCATACGATGAACTTTTGGCACTGAAACGGCCGTGGCGAAGTGGCCAAATCCTGAACCGTCCGTCGGATCGAAAAACGCTTGCTGGGAGGAAACTAAGTTGGACTAAGGCTAATCCAACAAAAAAAAAATTTCGAAAATCCGATGAACCCCCGGGGACTTATGGGTGCGCAAAAATTCACCGATTGACGGTGAAATGTCCAATTGTGTCGGACCAAATTTTTATCTTTGGAACGGATGGGCCGAATTGAATGGGACCAAAGGGGTTATAGGTAATCGACCATGGGGAATTTTTTGTGTTAGGTCGTTTTGGTGCCGCACTCAAGTGTGGCACTGAAACGGCCAAAAATCAAAAAAACACCGAGGCCGAAGGCCGAGGAGTTCGGCGGGCCGAAGGCCCGCCGTAGGCGAGGGCCGAAGGACCGAGACGTTTTGGTGCCGCACTTGAGTGTGGCACTGAAACGGCCAAAAGTCAAAAAACGCCGAAAGGAGAAGTTGGGCGGGCCGAAGGCCCGCCGTTGGCGAGGGCCGGAGGCCCGAGACGTTTTGGTGCCGCACTTGAGTGTGGCACCGAAACGGCCAAAAGTCAAAAAAACGCCGAGAGGAAGAGTTGGGCGGGCCGAAGGCCCGCCGTAGGCGAGGGCCGAAGGCCCGAGCAAGAGTCTAACATTGGCGTTTGGGGGCCGAAGGCCCCCAAACGCCTCGGGACAACCCACAACAGTTGTCGAATGCACCACAGCGATCAAACCCATCGCAAGAGTCTAACATTGGCGTTTGGGGGCCGAAGGCCCCCAAACGCCTCGGGACAAACCACCACAGTTGCCAAATGCACCACAGCGGTCAAACCCAAAGTAAAAGTCAAACATTGGCGTTTGGGGGCCGAAGGCCCCCAAACGCCTCGGGACAACCCACAACAATTGTCGAATGCACCACAGCGGTCAAACCCAAAGCAAGAGTCTAACATTGGCGTTTGGGGGCCGAAGGCCCCCAAACGCCTCGGGACAACCCACCACGTTGCCGAATGCACCACATTGGTTAAACCCAAAGTAAAAGTCAAACATTGGCGTTTAAGGGCCGAAGGCCCCCAAGGCGAGGGCCGAAGGCCCGAGCATTCATTACATCCAAAACGCAGAGCAATAGTCAAAGGTAGGGCACGGCGGGCCAGAGGCCCGCCGTAGGCGAGGGCCGAAGGCCAGAGCATTCATTACATCTAAAAGGCACAGCAACAGTCAAAGACAATGCACGGCGGGCCTGAGGACCGCCGTTAGCGAGGGCCGAAGGCCTGAGCTTTCATTACATCTAAAACGCAGAGCAATAGTACCCACCACAGTTGCCGAATGCACCACATCGGTTAAACCCAAAGCAAGAGTCTAACATTGGCGTCAAAAGAGTCTAAAGCAAGAGTCTAACATTGGCGTCAAACCCAAAGTAAAAGTCAAACATTGGCGTTTGGGGGCCGAAGGCCCCCAAACGCCTCGGGACAACTCACCACAGTTGCCGAATGCACTACATCGGTTAAACCCAAAGCAAGAGTCTAACATTGGAGTTTGGGGGCCGAAGGCCCCCAAACGCCTCGGGACAACCCACCACAGTTGCCAAATGCACCACAGCGGTTAAATCCAAAGCAAGAGTCTAACATTGGCGTTTGGGGGCCGAAGGCCCCCAAATGCCTCGTGACAAGCTACCACAGTTGCTAAATGCACCACAGCGGTCAAACCCAAAGCAAGAGGCCGAAGGCCGAGGAGTTGGCGGGCCGAAGGCCCGCCGTAGGCGAGGGCCGAAGGCCCGAGCATTCATTACATCTAATAGGCATAGCAATAGTCAAAGGCAGGGCACGGCGGGCCGGAGGCCCGCCGTGCGAGGGCCGAAGGCCCGAGCATTCATTACATCTAAAAGGCAGAGCAATAGTCAAAGGCAGGGCTAAACTTTACCGGCGAGGGCCGAGGGCCCGAAGGAATGAAAAGGCAAAGCAAGACTTTACCGGCGAGGGCCGAAGGCCCGAAGCAATGAAAAGGCAAAGCAAAACTTTACCGGCGAGGGCCGAAGGCCCGAAGCAATGAAAAGGCAAAGCAAAACTTTACCGGCGAGGGCCGAAGGCCCGAAGCAATGAAAAGGCAAAGCAAAACTTTACCGGCGAGGGCCGAAGGCCCTAAGCAATGAAAAGGCATGGCTAAACCTTTCTTTACAGGCATCCAAACATTCTAGCAGCGCGCGAAGCGCGCCCCAAAGCCGTTAGGCTTTCCAACGGGCAGAACGCTATTAAACCTAAAGTATCCTAATAGGAATTGCATACGCACTACGCCGCCATACCCCAATGGGCACAACTAGTTTAATATATTATATAAAAGTATTGGTAAAAAGTGTCGGAAAAACTCAAGCTCTTTCCAGAGTATAGATACGGGCATGAAAGTTTGACATGTCCGGGGTCAAATTTTATGCCGCACCTAGGAAAATTATGGACGGAAGATTTTGGAACCCCCATGGTACCTAAATAATATAGGTGCCGGGGCTATCTCGGGACTGAGTGGACTTTGAGGAAAATTTCTGCTGGTAGGAAATTAAGTTAGACCAAGCTAATATATGCAGGAAAAAATTCGAAGTCAAAATTCGAATATGGAGGGTACTTATTGGGGGGCAAAAATTCAGACATTTCCGGTGAATTGTCGCATGTGTCGGGATTTAAAATTCGGCTTTTTTAAAAATATCTCAAAAATGGATAAAGATATCGGAAAACTTCTGCTGGTAGGAAATTAAGTTAGGATAGGTAGATATGGGTAGGAAAAATTTCAAAGTCGAAATTCGAACTTGGGGGTACTTATGGGGGGGCAAAAATTTTTGTAAGAAAATTGTCTTACCGATAATTGTCGGATTTCTCTAAATTGAGGAAATCCTAAGGGCAAATCTCATAGGTGAGAGAGAAATTTTGATTGATGGGAAGAAATTTCGAGTTTAAATTTTTGGATTTCGAAACTTAAGCAAGTTTCGAGTTGAGTGAAGGTTAGTTGGGGGGAATTATATGGGGATTTCGAAATTAGGGATCCGGGATTTCGGGATTTTTAGGGATTTTCGAATATGGTCGAATGAGTAGTCATTCGAAAGCGAATAATGAGGGGAGTTGAATGGGATATATGATAAGTATAAAAGTCGAAGTTGGAGTTCGAACTTCGAAATCCGGGTTTTTCGGATATGGGTGAGTGGGTAGTCAATCGAGAGCTGGGAGTGAGGGGAGTCTAAAGGGATAAAGGATAAGGATTAAAGTCCAATTTCGAAGTCGAACTTCGAAATCCGGGATTTTCGGGATTTGTGGATGTGGATGAGTGGGTAGTCATTCAAGAGGGGATAATTAGGGGAGTCTAATGGGATAAGGGATAAGTATGAAAGTCAAAGTTAGGAGTTCGAACTTCCAAATCCGGTATTTTCGGGATTGGGAAGCATGGTCGAATGAGTATTCATTCAAGAGGGGATAATGAGGGGAGTCTAATGGGATAAGGGATAATGTCGAAATTCGAAGTTCGGTGTTCGAACTTCGAAATCCGGGATTTTCGGGGTTTGGGGATATTCGCAAGTGTGTAGTCATTCAAGAGGGGATTATCAGGGGAGTCTATCTGGATAAAAGATAAAGTCTAAATTCGAAGTTTCGCGTTCGAACTTCGAAATCCGGGATTTACGAGGTTGGGGGATATGGGTGAGTGGGTAGTCATTCAAGAGCTGGGACTGAGGGGAGTCTAATGGGATAAGGGATTAAGCCTAAAGTCGAAGTTCGGAGTTCGAACTTCGAAATCCGGTATTTTCGGGATTGGGAAGTGGGGTCGAATGAGTACTCATTCAAGAGGGGATAATGAGGGGAACTTAGTGGGATAAAGGATCAAGCTGAAAGTCGAAGTTCGGAGTTCGAACTTCGAAATCCGGGATTTTCGGGATTG